TCCTGTGTGAGACCTCTGGTGTGTCACGAGGTAATAATTTTTAATGAAACGTTTTCCACAAACTGAACATTGAAATGGTTTCTCTCCTGTATGAATCCTCTGGTGTATCACCAGGCGACAATTGTGACTAAAACTTTTACCACAGAAAGGGCATTCAAAAGGTTTGTCTCCTGTGTGTGTCTTCTGGTGACTCGTGAGCTGAAATTTTTTAATGAAACTTTCACCACAATATGGACACTGATATGATTTCTCTCCTGTATGAATCCTCTGGTGTTTCACCAGGTTGGAATTGTCACTGAAACTTTTCCCACAAACTGGACATTCATACGGTTTCTCTCCTATGTGAGTCCTCTGGTGTGTCATTAGGTGGGAATTGTGACTGAAGCTTTTGCCACAAAGAGCACATTCAAATGGTTTCTCTCCTGTGTGAGTCCTCTGGTGTATCACCAGCTGGGAATTCTGATCAAAACTTTTATCACAAAGAGAACATTCAAACAATTTCTCTCCTGTGTGAGACCGCCGGTGTATCACCAGCTGGGAATTCTGATCAAAACTTTTATCACAAAGAGAACATTCAAACAATTTCTCTCCTGTGTGAGACCGCCGGTGTATCACCAGCTGGGAATTCTGATCAAAACTTTTCCCACAAAGAGCACATTCAAACGGTTTCTCTCCTGTATGAATCCTCTGGTGAATCATGAGCTGGGATTTCTTAATGAAACATTTCCCACAATCAGAACATTGATAGGGTTTCTCTCCTGTGTGAGTTCTCTGGTGGTCCACGAGGTGGGATTTCTGACTGAAACTTTTCCCACAATCAGGACATTCAAATGGTTTCTCTCCTGTGTGAATCCTCTGGTGTTTCAGCAAGTTGGAATTCAAACTGAAACATTTACCACAATTAGGACATTCAAAGGGTTTCTCTCCTGTGTGAGTCCTTTGGTGAATCACCATGTTGGAATTCTTACTGAAACATTTCCCACAATCAGGACATTCAAAGGGTTTCTCTCCTGTGTGAGTCCTCTGGTGTGTCACTAGGTCGGAATTCCGACTGAAAAATTTCCCACAATTAGGACACTCATATGATTTCTTTTTTCTGTGCATCTTCTAGCATATCACCAGTCCAGAGTTTTGACCGAAACTTTACCCACAATCAGAGCATTCAAAGGGTTTGCCACTGGTGTGAGTTCTCTAATACGTCACTAAGTTGCCATTCTCACTATACTGGGAGCATTTGTATGGCTTCTCTCCTATGTCATAATTGTCATAAATGTGAATTAGCTGTCAAGCATCCAAATATAAAACATATTACCATGGGGATGCTGCAATAGTCATAAGTGCAAAAAATGGTCATAAGTCAGTTTTTTTCACTGGCATTGAACTTCGAACAATTACTAAACTATTGTACGTTGAGAACTACCTGCAATGTATCCTTGTGTTCTGCGTACTCTACTATTTCCAGTTCAAAATCTCTTCTTGATTACCTGTTGGGGAAGAAGGAGAATTTTGTGGGTTTCTGAAGGAAATGGAAAATATTTTGTTGATTTGCTTTCCTTTTTAACGTTGCTTGTTATTCTCAGTTGTCCGGAGTTCTCTTAGAGGCATCTTCTTTGTCTGTAAGATTCAAAGAAAAGTATAGCTTTCATTGTTTATTAAATGGTTGCAGAAGATATAAGAAAAAAGAAAACCATATCCATTAAAGGTAAAAAGGAAAGCAAATCAACA